GTAGTTTTAATGTTGAAAAACCCTTTGATTGATCATCTCGACATCGAGATGTATGATTATGAAAAATAAAAAGATTTTAAGTCTCAGAAATAGTGCATTTTTCAACATATTATCTACACCGTCCATTTTCAAGATTTTCATATGTTTATAGATCTACTTGATTTTAACCATTTTTGAAATTTGAAATTTAAAATTTTATAATTAGATATAAAAATAGATTTTGAGATAATCCTAATAACATTTTACATCAAAATTATATACCATGATAAAATTTGAAGTGCACCGTACCTCTACACCTACGGAGGGAAACTGCACCCTTGTTAAAATGAACCACACCAATGTAAAAGAAAACTGCTGATGGTGGGATTCGAACTGGGGTTCGTATAAAGTATAATTCCCAGCGCTAACCAATATGCCATTCTAAAATATTTGCTATAAATGTGAAGTAGCATTCTATTTAAACTTTAAGATATCGGTTGATCACCAAAACTGCCCAAAACCGGAACCGGCCACTGGCCGGTTCCGATCTAACCGGGCGGTTAGCAGTTAGATCGGCCGGTTTTGCAAACACTGCATCAGATAATAAATAAGACTCTAGCTAACGCAAGTATAATGATAATACCTTCAAAGAATCCAACCTTCGCTGCTGTAAAAATTCAAGAAGAGAAGGTGTGTCTGAGCTGCTAGCAGCAATAGCCTGAGAACCAAGTAGGATGTGTTTATGTATCCAGTTTGTCATCGTTATCATGAAAAAAAAACCATAGTCTTACTTCAGAAAACAGGAATACAAAAAACTGGGCCTAGAATACAAACATAAATCCAGCAAGTGCTCCAGAAATATGGAATCTCAAAACAGTAACTGAACCATATATTTTCTAAAATTATTTATCCGAGTCCAATACTTAGGCAATGACAAATGCAAGCATCACTGTGAGATGAGTTGAATGCACCAATTGTAAAATAGTCATTAAGAGGCATTGTTTTGAGATTTTCCTAGAGTACGCAAGTTCCCTTTAACCACAAAAAAAACAAGAAACAAAAAACAAAAAACATTCCAGTTAACTTCTTGAAGAATTTGAGAAACCAGTGAAACTCACCTCCAAATCCAAACAAATCCTCCACAAGGTTCCATGTGAAGCATCACATATAAGGTCAGGAGCGAGAAAGACCCACCCATCTCCATAAACTACAACATCATCTTCATTTAGTTTATCTGTCTTAGTTGATTGCAGCACATTTGTCGTTTGCCCAGTAATAGCTCGAGTAGGAGAACTGCATACTCCAGGAGAGCCCCTAACCAGAAGAGGAAGTGGTGCAGATATCGGTGCTCTGGAATCCGTAAATATGTCATATAGCAAAACAACTTTGGCATCCACTTGATGAACAAGAAGCACATTATCAACAACACTAACCGCCACCTTGATAGAATAAATAGGCAAAGAACCCTACAATGTCTAACAGAAAAAGTAAGAAAACCAGAATGGAAGGAGACCCATTATAGAAAGTCCATAAGAAAAGCAATATTGATATATTGGTACCACAATAGCATATGCACCGTTTTTTTACTCACGCACACACATTCAAACAAATGCAGCATAAACGGATAATTTCGAATGTGAATTTCAGAAGTATAAACCTGAATGAAGGAAGCAAGGGTTACATCCTATGAACTGCCGAACATGAAGATTTATATGTTACATGATCTTTACATGTTCACTGTTTGTGCAGACCAAAAATGCAAAGAAACCCAAAAGCCAAGAAAGTAAAACATGAAAACAATGTGGTATGTACATGTCAACATAATAAGCACCACCTAGAGAACTTACAAATATCCACAACTAAATCTCAGATGAAAACAGCTTAGTCAACCTATCATCCTAAATATCTGCTAGTCCATCGATGAAAACAGCTTAGTCAACCTATCATCTTAATATCTGATAGTCCATCAATATCACAAAAGTTCAAATATAATCAATACTTCTTTATGATAGAGAAAGTTATTGCATATCGGGGCTTACAGGTGAGTTATAAATGCCCCAATGGTCAAAGATGTCAAACATTCTATAAGAACTCGAAATCCAACCCTTTGTCCATCTCTCTCCCTAATTCTTGTGCCCCTGAAATGCCTCCCCCTCTCTTATCCTCACCAGTATATTCCAAATTCTGGCCATCCAACTCGTCAGGTAAAAAGACAAAATCTTGCCTGAAATTGAACACCCCCCCCCTTCCCCCCCCCCCCACCCCTCTTTCCCCCTTCTTCCCTTAGCCCCAAAAACCCTCCCCTTCTCTTATCTTTACCAGGAAATCAGAAATCGTGGCCATCAAACTCATCAAAAGCCCATAATCTTTCTGGAAATCAACCTCTGAAAGAAATGGGGATGCCTTTTGGCCGGATCATCTTATTTTTCTGCAGGCCCATGCTCCGATACATAGAGGAAATCACTTAGTTCCAAATATCTGCTGGCCGGATAGTTCCCAATATCTGCAGGCCGGAACTTCCTGACCTCCTGGTAAGACATGGTCCTCAACTGCAACACCATCTTAGAGCTTACACCAACAGTGACAACCCACAAAACACCATGCTATCAAGGAACCTCAAACCAACAATTTCACCTTCCAATTTCAATTCAAATCATGCTCCGTACTTTGTCTTCTCAAAGTGGAGGTCCAAATAAATGCCTCTATTACAAAAACTCGGCAACATTTGACACTTTTGTCCATAATTCTCTGATGAATATGTACTCTGTTAGTGCCTTAATGGTGATTTGGGTAGTTCTTGGAAATTGTTTGACCTTTGTAATAACAAAGATAATTTCTTAGAACACTACGGTCATGAGTTATGCACAGATCAATAAACCAGAGGAAGCGTTTCAATTGTTTGGAAAAATTATTAGAGATGATTATGGAAGTCTTCCTCATCACAAAACCATGGCGGCTTTACTATCGACTTTGTTCTAAGTTGGAAAGAAGAGACTGTGGCAAATGGGCCAATGATTATATTAGCTATAGCACAAGTAAGCTTAATTTGATTACATAAAATGGGGTCTGGAAACCGCTTGTTGAATATTTGATAAAATTTCTGTGGCCTGAAAAGTACCGAAATTGCTAGAGGGAGAAAGATATGGAGAGTGGTGTTAGATTAGTTATTGAGAGAGAGAGACTTTGAGACAGAAACGGGCTCAGAGAGAGAGTGGTGCATTGCAAGAGAGAGAAAAGATGTGGGTAGCCCGTAGCTGACTTCTTATTGTTTTAGTGAGAGAAACAGAAATGGACTCTTTATTGTTTTATTTTCATTTTTATATTTTATTTTGTTACAACAGCAAAGGACAGCTCCCTGCCATCTGTTTCGATGGGAACGCTGGGAGCGTCGGGGCATATATAAATTATCTATATGCTCCAACATATAGAAAGTTACCCCTTTATGATACCCATTTTTAAACTAACAGATGTGCCATTTGCTTTTGGACTTAAAATATCATACATATGTGGCATAATTTTGTCTTTTACAATTTGGCAGTTTAGTACCATTAGCAAGTGTAGATTTGGCAAAAGATTGCGCTGAAGTTGAATGGGAAATCAGGCAATTGAGATCAGACGCACAAAAATATACCTGGTGGACAACTGCATCCCGATAAAACCTATAGAAGTGGAGCAGCATTCCAACTTGATCAACTTGAATACAATAGATCCTTCCATAGCTATCCATAGCGAGAAAGTTTATTTGTAAAGATTATCTTAAATAAGCCATTAAAAAAAAAGAAAAAACAAAAGTACAAAGCTAGAAAATACAAAGTAAAGGAAATAAGTTACTGTGAAACTTGGTCAGCAAATCATACATCGTAGCTATATGTACATCTTCTGCAAGTAGAACAGGTTTTTGGTTTGCTTCAGCTCTAGCCATCGTGATGTCAAACCTTGGTAAGCGGATAATTCCTCCAGATGAGAACTGAAATTATATATATATATATTTGTCTGAGAAAAACAATAATACGAAAGAAAAAAGAAAATGACTCAATTATGCCAATACTTTAGCAAACAATTTTTTTTAGGGAAAAAAAGGAATGAAGCTCCAAAGCCAAACTATTTGGATCAAAATTTTAATTCCCAACTGCAGCTTCCCTAGAAGTCGCAGATATTTGCAAATCGCAATTATTGTTAAGTTGTGCAGATATAATTATTTTTCTCAATGACCTCATGTTTTTGTGAACTCGAGTTCTCTTTTGATCTATACTGCTAGATTTTCCATATTATCTTGTAATAAATTTTCAAAAGAGGTAAACTCAAAAGGAAAAAAATGCTTTGAGCGTCCTCCATATGAAAGGCACACACCCAGAACACACAAAATAGCATTATGTATTCTTTAACATCTATTTCAAGAACTACCTGAAAATATTAAATTCTCCCGCTGGATCAAAATATACAATCGTTCCCTTGGGAAAAACCCTAGCTAGGAGACTTTAGGACCCCAAATATTGGGGATGCCACCCACTCAACCTAGCAAATCCCCTCAAAAAGAAAAAAAGAAAAGGGGAAAATACATCCTAGGATTGGAAAAAGACTGCCCAATTTATGAAGCTCAGACGTAGGTGTATAAGAACTCAAACTCCAATGTTTTTTTTTTTTTTCTTTTGAAATGACTCATCTAGTAATTTTAAAGTGGATTATCGAGAAAATCCTGCCAAATGGGTCCTTTACTTGAGAAGGCATAGAATCAAGAACCTAATATGCAAATTGGCACTGAAATTTTGAAAATGAACTTAAATATTCTTTCCTGTAATTAGGCTATAATATTTCTCCTTCAAACAATATTACTCCACAAGTCATGTTGATACAACTATGTGAAAGAATATTCTAGAATTCGATTTCAAAATCCCCATGGCAATTTAAATATTTGCCCGAAGCTTAAAGAATGCTTTGTATGGACATCAGGGTGTTTAAAATGCAACCTATGAAATAATGGTGAATGTTCTCATGCGTACGTGCATGCATGTGTGTGTGAGCATATATCTGCTCATTAATAAAGAACAAGGCTGTGCATACCTGAAATCCAGTCAAACTCTTGCATTGCATTCCAGATGCAAGAAGAACCAGCCGACTTTCATGTGTATGGACATACCAACTCACGTTGAGTCGTTTGCTATCCACCAATCGTAATGCATTTAGCTGAGGTTCATAGGAACACATGTCTACTCCACTGGCATTAAATATAAATGCAAACAAACTTAGAATAGCAGCAATCTCAATCAATCAGCAGCAAGGAAGGACCTCAATATTTAAAAAGGTGTGGTTTGCATAAAGCTGAGGCCCTAAATAATTAAAGTGTGGCACACCTTCATATAGTGTCGAAAGATTTGTTTCAATACTGGAAATCTTTGTAATGGCCTAAATTTTTTTTTTCATCTCTAATTATAAAATTTAAAGTCTTAAAAATAGTGTACATCGAGCAGATCTACCAACACTTGAAAATCTTGAAAATTGACAGGACAGAAAATGCATTACAAGATGCACTATTTCTAAGACTAGAAATTTATTTTTTCTCATGTCCATACATCTTGAGGCCGAGATGATCGGTATGAGGATTTTTGGGTATTAAAACCACCTATTCTAGTGATTTTTTGAGGTGCACCTTAATTTGATTGCTTAGGGCCACATTATTATAGGAAAGTTTTCCAATATAAAATCTACGAAAAGTGCAAATTTTTATCAAATGATGCTAGAAATTACATTTGTACTGTGATTCAGGACAGCATTAATAACAGCAGAATATGCCACTGTATAGTGCAAAAACCTTTTGGAATATGGAAGATTTGAGAATGAAAATTCCATGATGATGGAAATCAATGAATAAAAAGTAACTTCCTAGCCAATTGTTTAATTTGTATTTTATCATTATTAATAAAATTCATTGAACTAAACAAAAAATAAGCACAAGAATACGGCTGGTAATGGTCCGGTTGGCTCGGCCAGCCCGGTCAGCTTGGCCCTAAAAAACTAGGGCCTGGGCACATTTTATAGCCCGAGGGCCAGCTCAGGCGTAGTCTGGGGCCGCAACAGGGCTGGAGCTGCCCCTTTTTCCCCCCTTTTTTACTTCTATTATATTCTGCCTGGCCCGCCGGTTCTATAGGGAGTAGGGCCAGGGTTGGTCCGGCCTGTTGCCAACCTTATACAAAAATTGAAGGCACAAAATCCATGGTGATAGAAATCCAATAAAAACCCATATTATGATTAATGTCCTTTATATTTACCTAATAACTGCCAGTGTTTGCTTTCCTAAGAATACGAGTGATATCTACAATGCTGTACTTGCCACTATACCATTAGTCCCTAAAAAGGAATTCCATGGCCCCTGACAAATTCCTTCAAGCTAACCTGATAATATCTTGGGACCATCATTCTATAACAACTTGTCTTTTAAACTTATTAGCCATGATGTGCACGCAATCTAGGTGCATGTAAGCCTCAGCCTGATTTGAATCTCTGACTCCTAATGGGTCTGAACAACAATTTGTATGATTCCAGCTGTGTTTCTAATGGCTCTACCATAACCTACAAGGACCAGGATTTCCTTAGGCTACTCCATCAAATTTTCACTTGATAACAATCCTCGTAGGTGCCCCCTTGTTTGAATGTCATTTCTTTGTTCTTTTTTCTTTTTTTTGTTTATGGGATGAAGATAAAAATCTGTAATTATTGATCAACTATCTACACCCAAAACTCATGGTTGTTCTCCATATTTGAACCTTTATTTGTACTCACCCTCAGGATTTAAGATTTTTACTTGACCATGTATTATGTTGATAATATTACATTTTTATGCCATAAGCATGCCCAAAATCAGTCAGTTACAGTTTCTTGGATATGTGAGAGAAAGCTCAACAAATCACTCATGGTCATCTGATCATATTCTTTGATGAAAGCTTCTTCTTCAAGGACACATTGGAAAACCTTTGTTTCTTGCTTGGGTCCCATCGTGAGGTATATATAGCGCTCGCAAGCATAGGAATCCCACTTTATCATTCCTGATCCTTAGGATTTTCAGCTCAGCTATCCACACTGCTCTCCCACAGCTACATCTTCCTTTCAAATAAGCATTACTCAAATATGTTGGCAAAAGGCCAATACTAACAATGATATTACTAGCTATGTTGTAGCCTGAATGGCTCACAAATGAAGCACTACAGTTCATGTCATGCCATACACTGCTTCATTTGATACCCATTAATCTCTCTTGAGCATGTGTATCTTAATGAAATATAAGAAACTTGGTCCGAGATCCTATGATTGTTTAATGGCAAATTTAAATGGACTGCAGCAGTGGTGGACGAAATAAAAGCTCTACAGGAAACCAATACTCACCAGCCAAAAGAAAAAAAAATCCTGGATCTAGATCAAGGTTATCAAATGAGAATGCGGACTAGAGGCTGGGGGTTTTGATACACTATGTGCCTCGATGCAGCATCTCACTTCAAAAGTGGACAATAAACATAAAAAGTTATTAGATTTATAAGAATACAGAGAATATCATTAATAAATGATTTACATGATAGTGATCAAATAAAAGACAGATAGACTTCTTCCTAGCTAAGAAGATAGATCGACTCTCACGTAAAAACTGTAAGGTTATCCCAGGAGAGAGTTTGACTACCCAACATAAGCTCATGGTTATGGACGTTTATATAAATACATGGAATAGAAGGGGTGAAATTAATAGGTGTCCAAGAACTAGGTAGTAGAATTTAAAAAATGAGAAAATAAACTTATTTAGGGACATTAGAAAAGAAGGAAAATGAAACTCTGAACATGAGATCAATGTTATGTGGAATGAAATGGCTGACTGTATTAAGAAAGTGGCAAAAGAAGGTTTAGGAAATGTAGAAGGAAGAGAAATTTCGATAAGGAAACTTTATGGTGGAGTGATGAGGTTTAGAGTGCCATTAGCGAAAAACGATCATGTTATCAAACTTAGCAACATAAGCGAAATGATTAAAACTTAGAAGAATATAGAAAGGCTAAGAAAAATGTTAAACAATTAGTAAGGCTAAACTTAAGGCATCTCATAATCTATACAGTAAACTGGGTACAAGAAAAGGTGAAAAAGATGTCTTCAATTTAGCAAAAATGAGAGAAAAAAGTGTAGGGATTTAAATCATATTAAATGCATTAAGAGTGAGGATCAAAGAGTCATGGTGAAGGATGAAGAGGTCATCAAAAGGTGGAGAGTTTTATTTTACAAATTATTAAATGTTGAACACAATGGGAACATGGCGATAGAAGAAAGCATTGACATAAATGAGGGTGGGGGTCATAAATACATTTGTAAAAGAAGATTTAAAGAGGATGAAGATAGAAAAGGCTTTAGGACCAGATGGTATTCCGATAGAGGTTTGGAAGTGCATAGGGACATTGACATTGACTCGCTGACCAAGTTGCTCAACTATGTGTTCAGCATAAAGAAAATGCCTTACGAATTGAGGAAAAGCATTGTGGTACCTATTTACAAAAATAAATGAGACATACAGAATTGTGCGAACTATCGAGGGATCAAACTTATGAGCTACACTATGAAGCTGTGGGAGAAAGTAACAAAGCAATGACTAAGGCATGAAACGAGTGCATCAAAAAACCAATTCGGTTTTATGCCAGGAAGGTCAACAACCGAGGCAATTTTCCTACTTAAGCAACTGATTGAGAAGTTTAGGGCGAAGGAAAAAGACCTCCACATGATCTTTATTGATCTAGAGAAAGCTTACAATAAAGTACCTAAAGATCTGATTTGGTGGGTGTTAGAAAAGAAAGGAGTCTTACACTATATCGACTTGGCGAGAGATATGTATGAGGGAGCAAAAACTAGTGTATAAACAACTAATGGAGAGATAAGCGAGTTTTCATTGACAATATGTCTATATCAGGGTCAACATTGAGCACATACCTCTTTGTTTTAATTACGGACGACTAGACTAGACACCTACAAGATGAGTTACCATGGTGCATGTTGTTCGCAGATGACATAGTTTTGATCGATGAGACTCGAATTGGAATCCACACAAAGAACTTTGGAGGGATGCTCTAGAATCCAAAAGTTTTAAACTTAGCCGGACTAAGACAGAGTATATGGAATGCAAATTTAATAATAATAACAGTAGAGACAAGGAAGTAGTTAAGATTGATGGTCAAGAGATACCTAAAAGAACGCATTTTCGATAACTTGGGTCGATAAATCAGAAAAATGAGAGATTGAGGAATATGTCTTACATAGAATTAGAGCTGGGTGGACGAAGTGGAGATGTGCAACCAAAGTTTTATGTAATCGTCACATACTAATGAAGCTGAAGGGCAAGTTCTATAGGATAGTTGTGAGACCAACATTACTTTATGGGGCAGAATGTTGGGCGGTCAAAGAACAACATATTCATAGAATGAGTATAGCTCAAATGAGGATATTGAGATGGATGGGTGGAAAGACAAGAAAGGATAGAAATTGAAATACATACATTCAGGTGAACTTAGATGTGGCACCAATAAGTAATAAGATGGGTGAAAGTAGACATAAGTGGCTGGCCATGTGTGGCGAGGAGCACGCTCTTCTCTCTCTCCCCCCCATGTGTGGCACAAACCCAATACAACACCGATTAGGAGGTGTGAATTAGTTTCAGTACAACTCTAAAAAAGGGCAAAGGGTAGACCCAAAAGAACATAGTTGGAAGTAGTGAGAAAAGATACGGGAGACTTATGGCCACATTAAAGGTATGACCCTTAATATAGTAGAAAGGCGAGTCAGGATTTGTGTAGCCGACCTCAATTAGTTGGGAAAAGGATTCGATGATGATGATGATGATGATGATATACACCGTACCAAAATTAACAAACTTTCATCATCACCATACCAAGAGTAACAAACTGTCTCTAATATTGAATATACCTGGTACGTAAGACAGAATTATCCAATGTATTCAATGAATTTAAGAAAACACAGAGGGTAAGTATCATACCACTCGAAAACCATTAGCATTTAGCAGCCAAGTACAATGTAGCATTTAGCCAAATACTAAGGAGTCTAAAGAAATCTCGATTTCTTGGTTTATGGCCTTGCCCCTTGTCCTTCAAATGATAACATACAATCAATTCGATATGCCAAGAAAATCCACAAATTTTGTTGCAAGCTTTGATATTGAAAGAAACAATCAATCCTTGCAT